ACAGTCAAGGTTACATGACAGTAAAGAACTTCAGTAGCTTTTATTTGGTGTAGGCCTTGAAAGATGCATTTTGTGAAGCTGCTGCGTGCCCTTGTAGGCATGTGTTGTGTTGTTTTGTTTTGTTTTTTTTAAAAAACCTGCTTTAATTTTTTGTAGAAAATCAGAGTATCCCTGTCTTCTGTAGGTTCTGAACACTTTCTCTTTAATGCCTGTGTTATTGATTTTGGTACTCTATTCTAAGGCACATAAGCTTCCTGTATTGTTCTGATATTTCTGAATTAGACTTCAGCAGTACAGCTACTGAACTTCACAGAGAATGTGACACTACTCATAGTGCTTACTAAAATGGTGGCAGAGTGAATGGTGAAAAAATTAAAGCTCTAAAATCCACTGTATCTACGAGCAGACAGTGTTAACCATGATGTATGTTGTACAGTTTTACCATAGTTGCAGAAAGGCTGGAAAGATTCTTGGAGCATGAGAAGACTGTGGTCCCAGTTGAGACACGGAGGACAGCTGCTGGTGTTTTGTTCCGGTATCTTAAATGGTTTATGCAAGTAAAGTACTCCAGTCAAGAAGGCACCTACGAAGCTCGTCATCTGCCTGACCACTCTGAGGCCAACCAAAAGTTAAAGCATGTTTTCAGGATGTTGTCAGGTGCCTCTTGCCTCACCCTGGCAGTGTTCATCAACCACCTCGCTGGGAAGCCTGTCCCAGTGTCTGACCACCCTCACGGTAAAAGAAATTTGTCTTAATGTCTCACCTGAGGTCCCCCTGGGCCTGGTACAGCTTTGTGCTGTTCCTGTACATCACGGTATTGGTTTCAGGGTAGAAAAACAGCACTTTGTTCTGTTTTTTCTCAGGGAGCTGCATAGAGTAGCAAGGTCATGTCTTGGCCTTCTTTTCTCCAGACCAGATAAATCCAGGTGGTCTCAGCCCCTTCTCCCTAGACATCCCTCCAGTTCTACCAGCTTTGCTGCCCTCTGCACACTTCCAAGGACCCTAGCATTTTTCTTAATGTTGTGGAGCCCAGTGCTGTAAACTATGTTCCAGGTAAGGCCACATCAACACTAAAGTGGAAGAGACTGGCAGGCTGTGCTTGGTGAATTTGGCTGCCAGGACACACTGCTGCTGAGCACACCGGCCCTCGGCACACCTGGGTCCCCTCACGCTGAGCTGCCCTTCAGCCACCTGTCCCCCACCATGTACCTGAGTCCAGCATTGCTCTGTCCCACATGTGGCACGTGGCATTTTCCCTTGAACTTCAAGCAGATGATTGTCCAGTGCTCCAGTGTATTTAGATCTCTGCCAGGCCCCTCATCGCTCCAGGGAGTTAGCTTTGTAGCATAAGATAATGCATAAAACTACAGTACTGACTAAAGGTTTGTAATTTACTGCTGTAAAATCCATTAAGAATTGAAAGCTACTAGAAAATTTGAGGCATTTAGATCCCTCAATAACAGTTAAGAAGCTGAACCATCAACTGAGTACGTTCAGTTTCTTACACTTTATTTCTTCATCCAGAAACAACCACATCTCTCTCCTACTGCTTTTTGTTAAGTAATTACTGTTCTTTTCTACCCCTCCCCATACTCCTTCATCATGCTAACTTTGGCATATGACAGAATAGCAGCACGAATTTCAACGTAACTAGTTTAACAAAAATTAGGTAACAGCATGTCAGCATCTGGTAACATGCAGGAAGAATTGGCCAAGCCAAACTACTGCTCTTCTATGCAGAAAATGCTTCTCAGTGGCAGCTTTAATCGTTTACTGAAGAACAGCTCTGAAAAAACCTTAAGCTTCACTCCCTCACATTTCCCCAAAAGTGACTAAGAAGTGAGCACAGAGGAATGTAGCTCCCCTGATTAATTTTTCAAGCCTCATTTGTATCAAGTCACTGATAGAGATTCATACTTGCCTTAAGCTGTTTATAACAAACAATCATTTATACAAGCAAACCCTCTGATTTTATCTCCAATTCATTTTTTAGCTTGGTCTTCCAGTAAATCTTTAGCTTCATTGATTTTGGCTGCTACATATGGAGAACCACCTAGAAGAAAGATAAGCTCATGTCACATCAGATGCAGAAAGCATTTTCTTTGTAGGTCATTACTGGCCCTGCACTACACAAAAAAGAAGTGCGAAAGATACTGAAGTTAAAAAACAAACTGCATTATGACTGAAGCCATTTGAGTTTACACACGTAGTGACTGCAGTAGCCAGATGCACGGGCAGCTCATCGTTAGACTGCTTTTAGTTTAACAAAGTTCATTTTTTATCATTTAAATAAATGAACTGGTCAGTAAGGACTTAATAAAAAGCAGCTTCTTGGGAATACACAAGTGTACTCCTCTGCAGATGAATCTCTCCTCCCTATTCCAAAGTTAGGCTGCAAACTGCTGCTGCACTGACAGACTAGTTCAGCATTTAAACATGATATGCAAATAATGAAAATTTTGAAACAGATTTCATTGTGTAAATGCACTGTAATTGTAACTGATCCTGAGCTACAAAGATCTGTAGCAGTGTGCCTTTTACAGGTACTGAACTTAACTCCAGTGCCTTTACTTGATGCTTAATTTAACTTATTTAGGTCATGAAAACATGTAAGATGCTCATGAGTCTTTGAGCAGCTATTTTTAGGTTTTGCACATATTCAGTAGTCAATTTTGAAGTAAGTTCTGCTTAGATATTAACTATGCTAATGACTATTTGGCATTTTAGTGCACAGAAGTAATGAAGTACTTTAAGGAAGCCATTTTACCTTAAGGACAGATAAAGCAAATAAGTTGACCTGCTGAATTTTTGAGTATTTTTTTACAGGTTTTTTTGTTTTGTTTTGTTTTTTGTTTTTTTAATTTAGTAGACAGAGTAAATACAGAGTATTCACATCACTTCTATACAGTTGTTCTCTTCGTGGGTTAAAAACATGTATTAGTTGCTCAAAATGAATTACTTTTACTTGCCTTTATCTGGATGATTCAGAAGCATGATTCGTCTATGAGCTTCTCTAATTTTACTTCTGTTGGCTGTAGGGCTAGTTTGAAAAACAGACAAAAACTCACTTGAGGGAACCTGATAAAATCCCCCAGGTCTTTACAAGGTGTCTTACCCATAAGCTCTTTGACTTACATGTATATTAGCATTTAAGTCCTGGAGAGGCTCCCTATGGGCTTTCCAAAATACCTCCTTCCCCAAGAAGACATGCTACAGCAATCTAACAAACTGGGCAACATTCACACACACTTGAAGATTTTGTTTATTTAGCTCCCACTGAAAACTGAAAGTCCTAATCAAATCCTGTCCATCCCTGACAGAGCTCTCAAGTGCTGGTGTGAGAATTCATCCTGAACTTGAATACTCAGTTGAAAACAAACAAAGCTGTGTTGTAACGTTTTTACTGGGACAACTCTGGAGAGGTTCTTAATTTATTTTAACTCCTGCTATACAAACTTCCCAGTTGGAAGTTACCTTCAGAGAAGGATGATTCTTAGTCTGTATGTTATTACATAAACTTACGTATTTGGTTCTGAGTCTAAGCTTTGGCAGGAACAGTTACCACACTCATGTGTAGGACATCCGACAGTAAGCAGTGTTTTTGCCCAGCGTGCAGGAAGTAGGCAAGGACAGCACCTTCACATTGAACTCCACCAGAACGACAGCACCCACAGCCACGTTCCCCATACAGAACCAAGGCCAAGTCTAGAAAATGGCATATTTATCAGGGCCTGTGTCTGGCTCTTGAATGTGTCTTGGGCTTAGAGATGTATGGGAGCCTAACCAGAATTCACTTCAGCTGCATCCAGCAGAAAATCCCAACTAAGCACAGAAAATCAAGAGTGGTCTCTCTGTATTTCCTGGCTTGGCAGTGATGTTCTCTGGGGAAAGCAGGCATAGGACAGTCCTGACAAAAGAACATCCTTTTTACCTTTCATTTATAATTAATATCCTTTTACCTCACTCCTAGTATTAAGGCTGCTTCTCGTTTAGTCATTTTGGGTTCAAATCCACCTCTGTAATAACCACTGAAGTCCTGAAAGAAAAAACGTGTTAGTTTTAAACACAAAGGTGATATAAGTTTATCAGTTATAACAACTCCGACTGCCTTAGCAGCTGCTGAGCATTGCTCTGTAACAGTGCTGGGCAGCTTCTTTTGTGCTTAGGAGTAAGGAATTCCATTTTTGTGGTGTCACTGAGTACTCACTTCAACTGGCCAAAACAACTCTGCAAGAACAGAATCGTTAATGCTGGAGAAGGCCTCTGAGATCACCAAGTCTTACCGTCCACCTACTGCCAGTACTGCCCACTAACTACGTCCCAAATTAATCAACCACCACCAGAATTACAGACTGATATCAGTGATACATTTAGTTCCAGAAGATACGATGCTACGTGGAGGCCGCAGTCTGCAGCTGCTCCATTTTGTCACCTCGTCGCTAAGATACCGCTGACCCAACGTACCGCTCTGGGCAGGTTCTGCAGCACTTGCTTCATCTGGGGCTCCATTTGCTTCATGGCTCTCAGCGCGTAACGACCTTAAAGAAACCAGCGTTGAACACGTCTCAGTCCGAGGCATCAGAGACACGGGGCAATTCGGCGCCATCGACACCGTTCCCAGAACGCGGATCTTTTCGGCCATAAAACAACTTCGCTCTTTCGCGTGCCGACCTCCCGCAGCCCCGCGCCGGGCGCCGCCCCCACGCACCTGCGAAGCCCGCCGCCGCGATGGTCAGCCCGACCGCCACCAGGGTCCCGGCCTGCGGGGAAACGGAGCGCTCGGTTACCAAAACAAAGAAAAGAAGGAAGGGCGGCCTGCGGAGCTGGGCTGGGCAGCGCGGGCAAAGGGAAAACAGCCGCGCCCAGCTGCGGAGCGCCCCGCGTCCCACTCACCATGGCCGCGGCCGCCCCGCAATGCCCGGCGCAGGGCGGAGCGCGCGGAGGCCGCAGCACGCCGTAAAGCGCGGCACGGCACGACAGCTGCCGTAAGGCGGGGCGGGGCTGCGCGCTTCGTGGTGGAACGCTTCTGTGCTCCTTGGGCAAATTGTGCCGATGTGCCTGAGCGCTTCTGGCGGCACAGATCGGTGGTTTGGAAATTCTCTTTGCTTTCCCAGCCTTGCCCCGTTCCGCTGCTCCTTTTGTTCGCTCCGTGCTCCTCTCCCGACACGTCGCCGCAGATTCGGCACGCTTCGCCGCTGCGGGGCCTCCCCTGCGCTGCGTGCTCCCCTGTGCGCTCCCACATGGCCGCGCTTCGGTATTTCGTTGCTGAAGATTGCTACAAAGTGAGGGAGAGTTACAGCTGTGGCTCTTGTGTTGGAATGCTGTCAGTAGCACAGTGCCTCCGCTCTTACTGCGTTGGCCCGCGATGGTGGTGGGATGGCAGCAGGGCTGAACCTTCCCCCAGTAGTGCTTACACGTGGCTGCCGTGTGATGGACGGCAGTCTGACAAAATGGTGTCTGGAGTGGAAGCGTGTATGAAGCAAACGTGTGTCACTGAATTACTCCTCCGTGAGGAGAAAATGGCACTTGCTGACCTTCCTTGACACTTGCTGAACGTCGATGGAGAGCAAACAGTAAAAGTGAGCACAGTGTGGCAGTGGGTGGTGCACTGCAGGAACGTGAAATACACGGAACAGCAGTGTGAAATACACAGCATTGTGAAATACACATAGCAGCAACGTGAAATACAAGCCACAGCCTGGATGGCCAGGCACAGCTGTCATCTCTGCTGGTGTGGATTGTTGCAAGCAGGGCATGCAGGTTTTTGTTCATTGCTGGCAAAAATGCATTGCTAGTGGTAGTGACTGTGTTGAAAAATAGTATTTTGCAGCTGAGAATGTTGTTTACCAAGTAGAGCTATTGTGCTCTTCGTATCTGCTGTAGTTTCCATGGAAATAAATAGGAGGCATTACTTTCAGAGAAACCTACATTTTTTTATCTTCTGTTTAGCTCTGAGCTCACTTAGTGTATGTTATAATTTCATTTGGACTCTGAATTATTTCCTCACCTAAATTTCAGGTGCTTGAAGCAGGATCATTCGAAGTATTTAGAGGTGATCTCCTATTTCTTTCCTTCCCTGCTACCCATAGAATCATTTGTTGGAAGGGACACTTAAAGGCCACGTTGTCCAGCTCTCCTGCAATGAACAGGGACACCTACAGCTGATCAGAGAGCTCAGAGCCCCATCCAGCTTCTCCTTGAAAGTCTTGGCAAGTGCTAAAATTTGATTTTGTGAATGGTTTGTACATAAATATTAAGGTGATTTGTTACACAACAGTCAGTTATACTCTTGAACCCTCCTTTCTGAAATTTATTCCAACTGTATCAGTGCTGATGGTTGTCTGTGCTGTGAAACTCATTATATTGAGTGGTAGGAAAGCACACTTGTGCCAGTTGTAGCAGAGAAAGTGGAAAAGAGCAAAGCCATTATTTGCACAGCCTTAATGAGTTGTGAATCCTGAAAGGCCCCAGTTTCTAGGTTTCACCATATGGAGATTGTTGCAACATGAAGGCCTTTGCACACTCTGCATTCAGATGTACCTCAGAATCTGCTGCTCTCCTAACTGAAGATGAATAAATGAAGATGAATGAAGAAATACCCGTTCATTCTAGTGAAGAGGTGAAGGAATCCTAATCCTTTTGAGAAGAGAACTTCTCAGCTTTGTGACGGACAGAGTTTTACCTCATGTATACCTTCAGTGTATAACTTCAATGTCCCCAAAGAATTGGGCCCAGTGAGGAGCACACAGAACCCTGTCAGTGACACTGAAATGATGGATAACAAGCAGCTTGGAAAACTGCAGACCTATACAGGAATGGTACTTTCTGGTTAAGGGCTCTATTCTGGCATAAAGAAATGCCATAGCTTCAGGATCAGTTACCACTACAGTGGGCCACAGCTCTCTTCCAAGGCAGGTGTGTGAATTTTAAACAAGGGGATGCACCCAAGCCTAGAGAGCATTTCCAGGTGCAGCAAGCAAAG